TTCATGCTGGCTAGGGAATCCTGGGAGTTGAAGTCCACATATCTTAAAGTTGCCAAGGTTGAGAAACACTGACTCAGAGGTAAATGTGTACCGTGCAATTATAGGCTTTCCCCACTAGGGGGCTCTTTTAACTAAATATCCTGGCAAATTTTCCTTCGCAGAGGATTACTTCCAGTCGCGGATATACAGTACTCACGGCTGGATAGGCAACACCCTTTCTGATGGGACTTCCGCCTTTATTGCTTTAAAGTGGAAGGAGGCGTGGCTAAATAGGGCAGCTGCAGTTATTCAGCTAATTAAACTAAATTTCTTGCTGTCACTATCCTTATCGGACCGGAGTGAAAACTGTAGGAGCACCGCTAGCCGGTTCTAGGCTCTTCTTTTCCAAATAGCAATTAAAAGCGCTAGACTCATCAGATGAAGCAACGTCAGGGAGAAAAAGAACTGACACGTAACGAGGAAAACTGACACGTAACGTAGCTGCGTCGGAAGGTTGTGGCAACTTCTTTTGTGCTCTGGAAGAAGCAGGAGTCAATTAACAGGTCTGGTTCGGATCTCAATCTTAGGACCTGGGGAAAATGGGAGCAGCATGATTCACGTTGGCCTCTGAGACGGAAACCGGAAAAGCCAGAGCGGACCAGAAGGAAACCTTTTACTCTTCGGTAACTATTAAACAAATCTTTCCTGTCCTTTGAATTTTCCTCTCCGAAAAAGCCATTTGTGCACATCATTATAGCAAGAGCCTTCTTTCATTGCAAGCCTCGTTTCCTCTGTTTTACCTTTTACCTTGTAAAGCCATTGTCTCTGCTCCTCTACACATACACAGTGTAACTGTGAAGATGTCCCTGCAATATATCAAGGATCAAAAAGGTAAGGATCAGCTGCTTTATAAAGGATATCTGTATAAGAAAGTGCGTGCCAGCGGGAACAAAACGTTTTGGAAGTGTGCTGAATACCACAAGTACTGTTGTACCGGGAGGGCTCATACAAGCCATGACCAAGTTATAAAGTGTTTGCCACATCTTCACCCGCCCACGAGGACACCCATAGAAGCTGACCAAGTGCCATATGGCATGAAAGAAATTACCACTGGCCCAGAATCAATACCTAAAGTGACCACAGCAAGTTGTGATGCATTGTCAAAAGTTGGTACCAAGAAATGGTGTACAGACCACCCAAGTCAGACAATTCAGCGCTTGAGAGCATGTTTGAAGGCCACCCGCCAACCTTCACCTGATTTACAGGCATCAGTCACTGTGGTTGAAACAACTATTAAAGAGCCAAGTGTGTCATCCGCTCTAAAATCTCCTGGCTTTCATAAGTTCACAGACAGCTCCACAGACAGAACTTCCATGCCAAATCCTGCTCTTTGTAAAAAGAAACATGCTTTGGATTCAGCTTCAGCCCAGGCTAATCGGGAAGCCGGTCGGCAGAGATTCCGCCTGTCCACCATCCTGCCTGGAGAAACCCTCCAGGAGATTCTATCCGGGTTGAGCACAGCAGCTCTGCAGTGGCTCTGTCCTCAGGAGCACAGCAAGGACCAGATTGTGGACATGGTTATCCTGGAACAGTTCCTCAGTGTGCTCCCAGTGGACATGCAGACATGGCTGAAGGCCCAGGAGCCAGGCAGCAGCAAGGAGGCAGTTCAGCTCGCCATGGCCTATCATGAACAGGAACCTAACAAGCCTATTCAGGTGCCGGGGATGGGATATACTAAGGATGTATTTAATGCACTATCTTTAGAATGGAAAGCTGTCAGTGTAGCAGATGTTTAGAAGTGCTGGAGGTTCTGCTGGTGCCCTTGATGCTCCTGAATTCACAGGGAGCAGTGCAGGCAGTCATGACTGGGGACAAATGAGTTTGGCCTCTCTGGCCAGAGAGCTACTTCTGCCACAATCTTTTACTTACAGCTAGAACATCCATAAGGAAGTATTTTGTAAAGCAGGGGAGGGGTATGGTGAGTACAAGGGGTTTATTTAAGGTCTGCAGCTTGAGGGAGGAAAAAGCTTTATCTAGATAGAGTAAGGCATTTAGAAAAGCAAGGGATGACTCATCTCCTATCCCCTAAAGCAGGCAGCTTTATTTTGCTGGCAGATGCTGTGTGCTTTCCTCATTTAGAAGTCTGGGAGGGTGAAAGCTGTTCTAGTGTGCATATATTATAGGGGAAGATTTTTCTCCTGCTTCTCTTGCTGCTCTCAAAGGCCCACGTATTTTGGCAAAAGTAAATACTTCCTGCCCTTGTGTTGATACAGGCTAACTGGTACTTCATGGATTCATGCACAGATTGCCCATGCCTACTCATAATCTGGTTGCATAAATCAACCTGGATGCTATTGATTTGGCATCTTTACTGATACACAAAAGGTGGAGTCTTTTATCAAACAGACATGCAGTAAGAGTTTGCCCTTATTCCTCAGCCTTTCAGTAAATGTGTAGTTCCACAGTAACTGTCACCAAGCATTCAGTATCTTTGCAAAGAAATATGGATGTTGCTGCATGATGCTAAAATTTGGAATAGTGGAGAAACTAATGAAAGGCCTGGAGCTAAAATAAAATTAGAGCTCAGCAAAATAAGTATGGAAATAAATGGTATATTACTAGGCTGCTATAGGAAAGCTTTGGGACAGGGACAGAAAAAGAACTTCTAGTGTATTCTTAACAAATTATGAACGTGATAAAGTCAATAATCCTTGTGCAGAATTCTAAAGTCAGCCCTGCTGATTCTGGTCATTAGTGCATCTGATCCAGTACTTCCTTTGCCAAGTAGCACTGAGTCTCCAAGAACTTGGAGAAGTGAGATTTTCCTGCTTTGCTGCCTGGGATCCTTCAAGTGGAGATGCTTGTGGGGAGTGGGGAAGTGGGGAGCCTTCTCCATGCAAGCCACGTGCTCCACCTCAAAAGCAGTGTACTGACCTACCTGATTGTTCAAACAAATGAGATATTCAAAGCCACAGTGCCTCTAAAATTTAGAGGATCCATTTAGCTGTTATGGTCAATATCTGTTGCTAGAGTTGTAATCCATGAATGGTTAAATCCTTTCTTCAAGCCATCCAAACCAGTGGCTGATTGTGGCAAACTGTTCTGAAAAGAAACAGTGGCTGGAGAACAGTACTTATATATCAGCTATACCAATGAAGTGCATGATTGTCTAGATGGCTGTAGAATTAATTTGGGGGATATGAAAAGTTCACTTATTTTTTATAAATGGTCATTGCTTTATTATTTTCAGTTTGTATTCATATCTAGCCATCCAGTAATCATGAGTGGTGCATTGCTTATTCCCCTCTTACAAATTGGGAATAAGACTAGACTTGACCCAGGCAATGAAAAGAATTTTTATGTTTGTTTGTTTATCATATTTATATAGCCACCCATCTCACACAAAGTGACTCTGGGTGGCATACAACAATTTGGATAGCACTGATATTTGATCAGTAATCCCATCTCCAAGTCTTTGCAAAATACCATGTAATTAATAGACTATCCCCTCTGATTGTTTTAGGATCTGATAACCTTTGAAGATGTATCTGTTCATTTCACTGAGGAAGAATGGGCTCTACTGGGCCATAAAGAAAAAAACCTTTACTGGAATGTCATGCATCAGAATTATGATAATGTGTCCTGGCTGGGTAAGAATTCTGGGAAAATCCTGGTATAGAGGTCTTTCTGTAGCTTAGAAAACTAAGGCAACTTGGTAACTTTTAGATGTTTTGGTCTACTATTCCCATAGCCCCACCCATTAGCCTTGAAGGGTCGGAGTAATTGGAGCTGAAGACCAAAAGATCTGAAAGGCTCAGGTTAGCTCACCTTGGAACTAGGATATACTCTGAATGATATAAAAAGATATTGTCTGAGTTTATCCAAAATGTTTTGATTAGCAGATGGCTTCACACGGGGGTGGGGGATCATAGCTATGGTGGTCTGTACATCATTATGCTTTAATGCAGTACATATACGCAATCCACTGTGGCTCAACTAAGCAAACCATAGTGCAATTTGGGAACCAGGTCATTTATTGCCATCTTTCAAGTTCTGTGTCTACTGTTAATATGCCATTTCAAGAAGAAAGATGCTGCAGTTGTTGTTACTAGGTACGTCAGTGTCTTAGGTTGTACTGGAAAGAGTTCTGGGCTTTGGCTGAAGATGCAAATGTAAATGCCTGATTTGTTGTGCAATTCCCCAAGGGATATTAAGATACTGCAAATCTTTGCATACTGTCCTAAGCTCCTTGGATTAATGGCAGACTGTACAGCAAAATATTTAAAAAGTGAGCTGAAATATCAGTTGGGTTGCACACAAAGAGCAAGAATAACCACCCAGAACTACTGAGAGTCCGGTGGAGTACAAATTTAATTTAATAAAATAAAAATAAAATAAAGTCTACCAATAGGTAGAATTATTTTTAATTCAGTTAGGATACAGAGCTTTATAAAGTTAAGATTATCATATTTAACATTGCGATTAATTTATTCAAACAGAGTTTTCACTGCAAACAAATCCTGATGGGTTTAAGGAGTGATTTGGTTGTTTCTTTCCTTCAGCAGGTGATCAGATCAAAGGCAAAAGCCAAGAAGAAGATCCTTTGCAGGAAGTCTTTGATCCAGTGGTGGAGTGGCTGGAAGAATCCAAGACGACAATTTTACAACATCCTGAACAAGACTTGAATAAGAACTGTCCAAAGAACCAGCAAAAGGGAAGCTCAGAGAGAGAAGAAATATTCATTCATTCTAAAAGAAGGGGACCAAGCAGGGACATTATTCTTCTAGGCACTGAAGTAGGGCTGCAGAGTCAATGCATTGATTATGAAGAATGTGGTACATTTGCAATACCTATCAGTGGTCAGAAAAGCCTGAATGAGGAAGGTCTTCCAGGCTCACATGAAATATTCAATAAGACAAATCCCCAGAAACTTAAGCAAAATTTAATCAGAGAGGATCAGAATGATGTAGAGAGGCAACAGTCAGAAGATAAGTCCGTTCTTTTTAGAAGCCATTGGAGGAATCCCATCCATCATGAAACTAGAACAAGTCAGGATGCCATGTGCGCAATTGTTGACGATACAGAACAAGCTGAGCCCTTAATACTTGACAATAATCCAAAAATCAGCAACGGGGGAGATTTCAAATATGTGGATAAGTCACTGGAAATGTTTGTGGAAAGAGTTTCTCAAAGTCCTGATCCTGATCCAATGCTCATTTGCTCAAAAATATGTTCTACTGAGTTGAATGTGACTGCAGATTTGACCAGTGAAAACCAGAACATTCTGGAAAGTTGCCATCCTAATAGCTCAGGAAATGAAGGAGGGCTGGAGAAACTCAGTTCTTTTGGAAGTGTTTTACAGGAACCAGGAACACACATTCTTCATTCAGACGCTCAGCAAGACTCAGGGGCCCAGTATAGATATACCAATCATGGTAATGAAGATGACGTCTCCAAAATCAGCCTTGGGGGTCAGTTGATTACATGTTCTAAGTGTAAACATTCAGATCCTTTCAAACAGTATGTCTGCTCTGATCCTGGGGAAAGCATCAGTAGCCTTTCAGCATTAATAAAACACAGAAGAGTTGACAGGAAATATTTCAGCGGGAGAAATTTGAAACTCAAATCTGGAGCACATCGTAGAAATCACACAAGAAATAATCTCCAGAAACGCTTGAATAGGGACAACTGGTGGTATTATAAACAAAACAAAAGCTGGCTTTTTGAATCAGGAATTGGTCTAAAGCAATCCCCAAAGATTGACCCCTTAACACTCAACACCCAAACCGGTGAAGTGTTGTACCTGGCTATGGAAATCATAAGGAGGTTTTCTACAACTGGATTTTTCTCTTCAAGTTCCCCCCAAATAGAACAACAGGAAAGATCTTTTTCTCTTCCCTTTCTAGACAAAATGGCTACTGAGCCCACCTTAAGCCAGTTAATGACTATGCTTCAGCAGGTGGCTGCTAATATTGCAGAAATCAAGGCAGCCGTCTCCAGCCTGCATTCCACTGTAACTGGCCTCCAGAATGACCTCAGGAATTTCTCTGGATGTACAGATGAAGCTGAAGGTGAGATTTCTGATTTGGAAGACCCCTTCCAAAACACCGAAGCTCAGCGTGTGCAGCCTTGTAATGATATTAAAGCCACTGAAGTCAAACAGGTGGGAAAGGCCATCCAGACCAATATTAGAGCTGGACTGTGGTCATCACTGAAAGTTGAAAAAGGTGCAAACTCTCCAGATCTGTCCCCCAACTCATGAGTCAGGAGGTTTTGTTTTGGCTTGGAGACAAGGTTAAATTCCAAAACTGGCAGAATATAGATCTATAGAGTTGGAAGGAGCCATTTCTGGAAGTAGCACTCATTTATAGTAACATTCATAGAAAACTTTTGAAAACTACAGAATGAAGCAGTGGTGATCATAGTAAAAATAAAATGTTTCTATAGGGATGATTATGAGATTGAGGGTGGAAAAAGAGGTTTAAACAGTTTGCTATAATCCCCATATCCAGAAACAAATAAGGTGGTGGTCTACTAGTCTTCTATCACCAAAAGTATAATATGGTGAGAAATAGCTCTCAGAAAGATAGCCATCTCCCTTTTCCTCTGGGAAAAGATTATGCAAGTAGAGAGAAGCAAAATAGTGGTTAAAAAGGTGGACCCTTTTTAGAAGGGAAGGAAGGGAAAGGAAGCTCTTTAAATATGAATTATGTATTGCGAGGGAGTTGTCTACCTTCTTAGCTTACCCAATGTAAGTTTCTTTTAAGCATAATGTTCTTGCAGCTTATGTGTTAACCAAAATACTTTTGAAAATAGGATACTGTCTCTGCATGTACATACAATCAGATACATCATTTTGAGTGGCAACTCTATGCACTCTTACTTGTGAATAAGCATTAGGTTTACTGGCACGTATTTTCTTGTAAACGTGCGTTATTATTCAATTTTTAAATTCCAACAGGAAATTTAAAAAAAGAGGCTCAGTGATTTGTGGAGGGCAGGAGGGGGAAATGCTTCTCATTTTCTCCATTGTGTATCTAATCCCTCAGCTTCTCCATCTCAGAGGTTTTACCATATATTATGAAGATTCCCCTGAGCTGAGCACAATTCCTGATTATAGGAATGTGCTTTTCTTGGGAATTGTACACAGTGGTTTGCTCCTGCCTTCTTCTGGGATATTTGTTCAACTTCCCCACCTAGAATATAGCCCTGGGGTTTGGGGTAGCCTTCCACCCAAGCACCATCAGCCAAGGTCAGCTCAAGGCTGCCATCTAGCTAAAAGGAAACTGTATGGACTAATTTGGTGTGTAGCCCAATTCTAGCAGTGGCCAGGCAAGTCCACCTGTTTACGGGCATCTTACAAGCAGGCCATGGCTTGAAGGAAAGAGTCCTCTCTCAGAATCTGTCTCCATGACTTTATAGACAGAAACTGCCTTTGACCACAATGGTTCCATTTAGGAAACAGGTTTTTATAGCTTTATCTTCATGAATGGGTCAAAACCCCTTTGAATTCCAGCTAAACAGCCTGGAAGCCAGCACCTCTGACAGCAGTTCTGCAACGTCTTCCTGAGCCTGGCTCTCGGATCAACATTTTTCATTTCATAATCTGAGCCCTTAGAGAAATTAAGAGGGACATTTTAGAGAGCGCCTTCCCACCCATGTGCCCACAGTGGCATGCTGCCTCCCAGAAATATGCCTGGCCCTGATTCTTTTCAGTGTCAGCCAGAGAAGGCTATATTACCCCAGGCATTTTGAACAATTAATGTGTTAATTTTAAACGTATTTGCTGCTCAGAAACTTTATTATTTGGGCTGCTGCTTTTATTGTATTACTATTTTATATCATTTTACTGTTATGCATTTTAGTTATTCCCTTTTTAATGTATATTTTGATGGCTCAGAGTTTAATTTGGTGATTTTAAGGTAAACAGTAAACAGTAAGGTATCCAAATTGACAGAACATGGCTGGCCAAATCTGAGTTTAAAAACTAAGCAGAATCTGCCCGGGTAGTACTTGGATGTGAGATCTCTAGGAAACAACAGGCTTGAATGGAAAGTCAAAAACTTCCCAGAAAAAAGCAGCAATGTTTTTGCTGCCAAAAAAAACCCCTGTATGAACATGTCCATGAACTCAAATGCCACCCTGGGAAAACTTGGTTTTCAACAGTGGGATATACATTTCAAATATGAAATTAAAAAAGAGAAGGGATTGTATCAATGTACTGACAGTCATTTTTCCCCCTGCCCCTCCAGTATTTGACACAACTTCTCTCCCATTCCATAAAAATCAGTCTAGGACAAGATGATACTGGTAGTCCTCGTTTAGTGACTGCCTCATTTAGCAATTGCTCGCAGTTATGATGGTGATGAAAAAGTAACTTTACGACCAATCCTCGCCTTTACAACCTTTGCAGGTCTGTAAAGCAAAGGAAAGCTGAAGTAAGATCGTAAGCACATGCATGGTTTCACTTAGCGACCGCTTTGGTTAACGGCCGAGTTGCCAGTCCCAATTGTGGTCGCTAAACGAGAACTACCTGTACTTAGCACTTTATTAAGAGTTGCTGCCTAGCAAATCCCAGGACTAACAGGTCAGATCTCTTCACTGAGATTCTTAGGAGTATCTGGGATGAATGCTGAGCCAAGTAGTGCTGCAGCAGCGCTGAATCTTATGTAGCTGTCATGGCGTCATTTAGATAGTAATTACTCTTACTTGGAAAAGCTGGATGCTCAGGAAACCATTTTTTATTTCCAACAAAATTACTCTGCATTTTTTTCTGCCTCTTTTAATCTTAATGATTTCTTACTTTCTTTGATTACTTTCTTTGCAACTACATTATCTTTTTCTCTCTTACACATTAAAAATATATTTCTCTCAACCTGATGGTCTGTCCCACACTCTCCTCACCTTTCAATAATTATCTGTCTTTCATCATAAACCATCAGATCAATCATGATTTTAGACTTATATTTATTCCTTTGCTACATGAATGCATGCATTGACTTATCTGAAATAAACAGACCTTTTTCTAAGAAATTCACCAATCATCATTCTCATTAATTTGGGGGTCTCTGAACAGCCCAATTGCTTTTTCTGTACTCTCATTTCATTCCCATCCATCCATTCATGTCACTTAACAAAATACTATTCCCAAACTCATTCTTGTTTTCATGCACATCCCCAACAACCATGATTGATTATGTGCCATCAGATCTCTGTCAGCTCTTAGTGACCACATAGATAGATGTTCTCCAGGAAGATCTGTCCCAACGTGAGCCTTCAGGTCCACCAATTCGTACCCCTCACATATATTTTAGCCTTTTCATCCATTCTTTCAAATCTATTTCATCCTTCCATGGGTAAACAACATAGCTATTTATCTTCCTTTCTTTCATTTGTTTAATTTCATTTGTTAATTGAGCCTCCTTATCCCTTTCTCCTCTTACATTCCAGGTCACAATCTTCCATATGCCGTGGTTGTCATTGGATCATATTGATCTCTACAACCCAGCATGGCTTGAGTCAATCAAGGCTTTCACATGATGTTTTTCTGAAGAGAGAAAAGTTGCAGACTAGGTTAGCAGCCTTAATCCCACCCCATTCCATATGCAGCATTCCCTGATGATGATAAGGACCATATCAGCCAGTTTAGACACACTGTGGCCAGACGACCACAAAGGCAACCAAAGCCCAGTTTTGTCCCACATGTGCTCATGCTACCCTAGGCCAGAAAGAATCTAGAGTGTTCTATGAAATATTAGGTTAAGGGTACCAATAATTTTATCCATGCCATTTTCATTTGTTTCATTATTTACAAGACTATGTTAAGTCATACATCAAAAGCAAAGTGTTTCCTCTATGAACTATGGAATAAAGAATGGTGGATACCATTTTATTGTGTCAGTTTGAAATTATTTCACGGCAAATTGGGATTCTTTGGGAAAAAGTGGAGGGGTACAAATGCTTTTGGCCGCATCCGTACCAGTATACCCTATGCCCAGGCTTTCCCTCCAGTTTAGGACAGACCTTCGACAGCCAGAATCCAGCAAGAAGCAGGAAGCGAATGTTCATCTGCAGATTTTGGGGAGTAAAGAAACAGAAAGTAACTTGTCAGGTAAGAGGTGGCAAGCTAATGTGGAGCACCAACTAATAAGGAATGGCAGCCTCTTTTTTCTTTTTTCTTTTGTAATAGAAGACTTCAAAGAAAATATATAAACAAGTATAAAAAAGAATATGATACAAATCAATAAACCAGGGATTTAAAATGTCATGGAGGTTATAACTTTCTAATATACCATTAATTGGTTGCAAATAGTTAAGTATATTGGATATATTATGTTAAAGGACTAAGAATCAAAAATAAATGGAAACTGAAAACAAACATCAAGAATCATGATTAACACAATATAAAATCACTGAATGAAACAGAACACCAGCCTTCAATCTGGTGTATTCCACTCAAATCTCACTGAATACTTTGGACCGCAACATCTCCAAAATTAGGGAGAGTGATTTACATAGGATAAGTTCCAACACACACACACACACACACACCTCCTTTTACTATCTGTTGTAAATTGGAGCAATTGGAGGAAAGGAAACTTGTCACCTAGCTTTCATGACACTGGTAGGCAGAAATTCAGCCGGGGAAGTTCTTCGTCCTCAACCCATCACAATGCTGTAAAAGAAATGCCTGCAATTGCCTCACTTCTGCTTGACATGCCAAAGGGAAAATCTTTAAAAAATAATAGTAAGGCATAAGGTAAATATCAGTTTATCATAGCCTTGCTATAGATCCAAGACAAATGACAAAAGTTGCAAACTACTCTGTGGAAAGTGTTACTCTCAGCTTTACCCCTCCCGTTTCTTGTTGGCCGCTCCACCGAACTACGTCTACTTCATGGTATCTTTCTTACAACCAGATACTACTGTAGTTGATGAGAGAGATATAAGGAGGAGGACTGCTTTAAAGAGAAATCTGTATCCTTTGCCACATATTAGGTGGACTTTGAGGGATTCTCAACAACAACAACAAAACCCTTCACTGGGGAATCATGGAAGAAAATTATGAGAATAGATCCTCATATTCTTGATTACATTATTAGATACCTGCCATGAACATATTGCCATACCTATGGAGGAAAGACTATCCATTGCAGTCTTTGTTTCATGCCCTTTATACGCTTAAGTTGCCCCAAAACTTGGGCACCCAAGTTGGCGTGGAGCTGGAAAGAACCTAGTTCCTGAATTTGAGAGAGAAACACCCAATATCTTTGCAAAGTGGCTTTTTTGCTCCCCAACAATACAAATCACAAGTGTTTCAGGCAAAGCAAAAAAGCTTTATTAAGTGGGGGTCAAGCCTTTATATAAGGTACAGTCTATACATTTGATATATGATAGGCGTATCAGAAAGCGACAAATCAAACAATAAAAGTCATTGATGTGCAATAAAGGCTTTTTGTTAGACATGAGATCTTTAGATAAAATATGTTACATCTCCTCTTTTCCCATCCAGGTTTGTTTCTTTCATAACATGTATAGTTTTTGATCAAGGACTTCAGAATACAGTCCTATTGCTTGATTGCTCTCATCACTGTCCCTGAAAAGGCTACTTTTTGCACATCAAAGGAAATGGTTTTGGCTCAAAGGAAAAACATGGTTTTTCAAAAGGAGGCCTAGACACCATGCTAAAATGCTAGTAACACCTTTATTTAGCTGCTAGTAATAAACCCTAAAATCCTACGTAGCAAATACAACAACTTCATCATAGTTACTAGTGAACCTGATAATGAGGCAAGCATAGATTCTCCCATCACCATTCAGTCAAGAGATTTCTTGCTTCACTATTTTCCTTAATTGCTGAACAGAGAACTAGGTTATTTTTATTTATTTGATTTGAATTTATTAGCTGCCCAACTCCAAAGGATTTCTGACAGGCATTATCTAAAAGCGTCATTACTTACCTACTTACCTGAATTAAACACGACTCCAGAGAAGAGGGCCCTGCATCAACAACCACCAGAGGGCCCTGCTACTACTAAAGCAGGGGACCGCCTGTTCCCTATCGGCTCAACCTCTGTTCTTTCCAACCAGGATATCAGGGGGCTGAGCTTCCTAGATCAGCCTGGCTCTTTGCCACCGTGGGGTACTCGCGGCAACCTGGGAACAATGGCTACTTCCGCTGCGAAACTCTGCACCCGAAAGAGAGTATTTATTTATTTATTTATTCATTCATTCTCTAAGGACCCGACCGGAGTGAGAACTCTGACCTCACCTCCTGCCGCAAATACTACAGCTATGAACCCTTCAACAACCAGCAATCAATCAACCAACCAGAGCCACTGGGTAATTGGAAACGGTCTGAGCTCAACCGCTGGAAGCAAGCGGAGCTTTCGAAAGGCTCGGTTTTAGTCTGGATGCTAGAGCCCGCTCAGAGATGCTGATTTTAGAAGGACAGAGAGGCTTTCACTCCCGCACTCAAGGGACCCGGCTAGACTGAAGAGCAGACACATCGCGCACACACACACATATGTATGTATCTGCATTTTGTGAAGAGAGAAACCAATTAGCAAACATTCATTTCTTATACGATTTGCCCTCATAAACTATATTTCAAAATGGATTTGTTTTATTTGTGGCTTCCAAATACCAACCCCAGAGATGCAGGTGGAGGTGAGGGGACTAGTCATATGTGTCAGTGTTAACTGTACCAACTACACTATAAAGGGCTGCAGATCAACTGGAGAGGGAGAATCCAAAGTCCCTTTAGATCTGACAATTGCATTTCAGATGAGAACATTACACCCTTTTCCCCGACTGAGAGTTTGAAGGCTACCTGATAGGATTGCTGTCTTTATAGCAGGCAAACATTCAGTGGATCTCCCTCTTTAAGACCTGTCTCTTTCCAAGGAATGGAGGGCTGGGGGCAGAAATTCTAAATGACTTTCTGGATACCGTGTGGTTCTTAAATACATTAAGAGTTCGGGCAAGGAGGAGCCAGAAGAATGAGGACATTTTTAGCAGGTACAGCTTGGGGGGCGGGGGCTTTAACTGAAAAAAAAAGGAAGAGAAGGGATATTGACACCTGTGTCAGAAAGTAGAGTGGGAAAATGCACAAGCAAGCTCCTTCACCTTTAAAGTTTATCACGTAACTCTGAGCTTGGCTGTTTTCTTGCAAACGCTTCGTTACCCGGCTAGGTGACATCTTCAGTGCTAGTATGGAATGGGGTTTGTTCTCCATTTATATACAGTGGCCTGCCCTGCCAGTGTTGGGGGGGGGGGGTTTTTTTTTTTTTTTCCCTCTGGTAGTTCCTTGATTAG